GGTCGTTTATGAACAAGGCAGGTGTACCTTTTTTTAGTGCAGGGCTTGTCCTCTTCTGTCCAAGAGGTCCTTTTGTAAGATGCAGATTCTGTACGTAACTTCATGAAATGTTAGATATTTGATTGTGAAATTCTCTTCTTAGAGGGAACACAAAGCAGAAGATGCAAAGATTGACATCAAGCAGTAGAACTGACTTCTGTTGGGACTTGTTTAGCAACAATGGCTAAAAGCTCTGATGACTGACTACAGGAGGAATTGGAAGTGAAACTGCAGAAGGGAGGAAAGAGTGACTTGAAATTAGAAATCTGAGGCTGGGTTTCATGTCAGAGATGCTGAGAAGTTGGAGGGAGAGCTAAGTGGAAACCAGTGGGCAAAGAAGCTAGGTGTGGAAGTGGTAGGAAAGAGAGAAATGAGTCATGAGTATGGGTCTGGCAAGCTTGAGAACCAGTGAGGAGCTGGGGTAGACTGAAGCTGTTTGAACAGGAGAGACAGTGGTGGAGAAATTACTGTGGTGACAAAAGGCTATTTTGAAAATCTCAGTGTGGGGATAAAATGGGTACAGGCTGTGGGGGAAGCTGAGAAGTCAGAGAAAGACAGTATTTCTGAAAAGATGGAAGGAGGAAACTAGGTTTGTCTCATCAAGAAGGGGGGAAATTGGTATGAATGGAAGCTGGGGGTGTGTGAATACTTGATGTAAGAAGAAAAACACCAAATGCTGGAGACAAGAATATAGAGGTGTGTATGTGGAAGAAAGGTAAATTAGGAAATAGCAATAGACCGTATAAGATGCATCTTGAAGCAAAATTACTAGATTATTTTGTCCACAAGGACAAACTCCTCTTCAATTTTGTAATCAAAGTTTGGGCCTTGTCGTTGTTCTGCTGTCAGCATACTTCTGTAAAAACACAGTAGTAAATTGCATGATTTAACTCAAGCTATTCTCCTCTGTGTTTGGATACCATGAAAATCAGAAAAGTAACAATGTCTGTCTCTGAATTGTGGTAAATAAGGCTTAAAAGTATGTGCATAGGGCAGAAGTATTGACTAGCTTGCTGAGTGACCATGGTCTGTTCTTTGAGCTAGAAAGGCAAGGCGCTTTAGGAGATGTAATTAGACTAAATCATTATATATCTGTCTATGCACCAGGGAGCTGAATTAGGGCTTCATAGGCATCTGTTTCAGTCAGAGAAGTCATGACATAATACTGACAGGCATACAAACATACTACCGTTATTTCCTTGCCAGACAGAACTATAGTAACGATTTGGATTAGGTAGACCTAAGATTTAAGAAGAAAGCATTTTTAATAGTCTAGCACTCCTGTTAAGAGTGGTGCTTCTGATTATACTCAGCTGTGATATTGAGTTGTTACAAATGTTAAAAAAAATTGTTCTAAATGAAATGCTGTGATCTCTTAACCTGTATAGTCCATTTGCTGTCAAATAGTCACTATTGCTGTCAAAAACTGAGTCAATTTTAAATTTAACAAAGTGCAGTAACTTGGCCTCTTCAAAAATTTTTTTCCACTATTAAGCATGTCCTTTTCCCAGTTTCTGGATTAATCATTCTAACATCTGACACTTCTGCTGAATTTCCAAAGAAGACTTTTTTTTTTTTTTGCTGAAAACTGTCCGTTCCTGATTAGTATCAGGGCTAGGGATGTTGCCTTATGAACATATATATATAAACACACACACACAGAGGTGCACACCTACAAAATAATGTGGTTTCACAGAGAGGATTTGAGTCCATTGTCATTAATGCTTCTGCTTTGTTACTGAATACCTGCATTAGAGAGGCCAGATTTTTATAAATTTACATATACAACTTTTGGTCTCCAAGAAACTCGCTAGCCCACAACTTTGTCCAAAAAATAACTGCTAGTATGTGAAATTTTTTGCAGTTTGTTTGGTTATACTGAATTTCTGATATAGACTGCTCCTGATTCTTTCCGTGTTTCCAGTTTTGCTGTCCAGCTGAAGAGTGCCTAGTCACTTTCACAAATCTCTAAGCTTTGTTAGGAAAACCTCAAATGAAACTGGGCAGGTGCTAGTGAATTATAGAGATGTTAAACTACTCTTATTCAGTCTTTTTCAAAATACTGATTTTAGTTTTGCTTTTTTGTGTGTGGGTTTTGTGGTGTGTTAATCCATAGAGCCTCTGCTAAAGATATGTGTTTAAATAAGAATGTCGACCTGATAGTCTAGTTTTAGTTTTGAAAATGTTTCATAAGTGCCAATGTCTAATTTGGCAGATCTTTGCCAAGTCTTTAAACTTTTCATCTTAAAAAAAAAAAAAGTGGACTAGATTAAAAAAATTGATTTTATTTATAAAAATAAAACAGGACACTTAATCAAAACAATTTTAAAGGGCATGTTTGTTATCAAAACAGTATGTTATTTAGACAGCTGTCTTAATGGAAATAACTTTCTGTGCACCTAGAACATGTGCATATAAGTATTTAACTGGCTTTTTCACAGAATCGTTAAGTTTGAAAAAGACCCTTAAGATCATCAAGTCCAACTATCAACCCAACACCACCATGCCCACTAAACCATGTCCTGAAGTGAAAAATGTCTTGTACTTTATACTTCTATAAAATGCAGAAAACATTTTGTTTCCTACAGTTCATTCAGCTACTTTACTTACATGAAATGTCAGTTACTCAGTTAAGTAAACCTTTTGTGGCTATGGTGAATTTTTTTTATTAGGGGAAAAGCTGCCTATTTTTTGGTTTTATACCTTGAGCAAAACTTATTTATAAATATGTTATAGATATAAATAAACTTTTAGAAATAGTTTTGGATAAAACAATACTTTACTTAGCCCTGTGATTCAAGTAATATATGGAGCATTAGATTGCTAGTACCAGCACGCAGAGTACTCTAGAGATCTATAAGAAAGCTTAGAAATTAAGATATTGGTGCTGACATAGAATAAAGCTAATTATATCTTCTTAAGTTTGCTGCTCATAACTTCTTGTTCAAGGCAATAAACAACAACTATTTTCTTTTCTGCTTTTTCTAATCTGACATATTAAGCTGTGACCATGGGTCCTCCCCTGCAGTTGCATATTTTTGCCCTGGCAGTCTTTTGATTAATGCGTATATCACACAGTGCTCAGTCACATTCCAGCCATTTCATAGCCTAATGGAAAAAAGGCTGCACCACTTCTTCTAAAAGAAGACTTTAAAAAAAAAGTAGTCGATTGCTAATTGATCTGCGATTAAAAAATGGAATTGTTCTGCAAAAGAGCCCTGACACTTTTCTGTGAGTAAATGCAGATGTTAGTTTTTTACCAAACTTCTTTTCCCTCAAGACAGCCCTTTCAATAGGAAATGTCTAGAGATGGAGTCTTTTGTTACCTGGTATTTATTTTTCTTTTTAAAAGACCAAAACCAGAGAAAGTAAACCTGCACCAAAATCTAATCTGTGTTTTAGAAATCAGAAACAGGAACTTAGTTAGGCATGCGTAAAGCCAGATTTGTTTGTGGTTATATGTGTATGGGTTTTTTTATTAAACAGCTATGAAATGGATTGTGAGCTTTTGGGGAATATTTCATTTCACTCTTTTCAAGCATTAGTTCTCTTAGAATTGTGGTCGGGGGGTATTTGTTTGCAGGGTGGGGGGCGAGAATCATTTGGTGTAGGACTTTTGCATCCAGCACAGTTGAAGATTCAGTGTAGAAGGGAATTATACAGGGAGGAGAGTACTGTGATAGTTTGTAAGAAAGGGTAACACAGAAGGAACTAGAAAAGTGCGGAAAAGAGAATATGTAGAGGCATCTAGGAACAGGATGTCTTTCTATAGATACAGAATAAATTGTCTATCTATATGTATTTATATCTTATTTGGAATATGTATTAGAATTCTGTGTGTACATATAGGTGTATGTATTAGAATTTTCAGATATTTAAGGGGGATAGACAATTCAGACAATTGAATAAAATATTTTATGCATAGGAAGAGTTAGAAGAGGTTAGTGAGGCATTAGAGAAGAACCTGTTTTTTGAATCCAGTAACAATAACAAATAGCAGAATTTTGGGTTGATGTGTTTTTTACCTGAGCAGGTGTCAGAAGGAACTTTACAGTAACAGCTGACTGTTTTAGACTACTTTTTTTTTTTTTTTTTTTTTTGATGCTTGAAAATTATGCACTTCCTCAGACTTGGGAGAATCAGTTGCTGAGATGCTGGTAGTCTGCATACTCCACTAGGCAAGACATTTGCCAGCTGAGAAGGTCCTATTTAGCAAATGTTCTTGCTTGTAGAGTGTTCTTTGGCCTTCTCTCCAAGTGGCCTTTCCCCTGTGTGACAGACAGTATATTGTGTATACAGTTCCCTCGTGAGACATTGGCTGCCTTAATTGGTGTTGTGAGCTGTACTGGATTTCACCTGTGGAATATCTTGCACAGCCGGTGTCAGAGCTTTCTGTGCAGCTTTTGTACTACTGCCCTTTGTTTCCTTGGTGGTTACAGGAAGAAGCCCTTGACCTTTGGTGGGTAGGATGTTTTTAGCATGTGTGGAATGGTTTTGGAGGGTTGTGGGTTTTTTGTTTTGTTTTGTTTTTTTAATTGTCCTGCAGACAGTAAAGTACAAGAGTAGTAGCTCTGGATTGTTTGTTTCCTTTTATTATACAGAAGACTGACTTGCAAACTCAAAATTGAAAACATATATGTAGGTATGTTTTGTCTGAAATTAAAGCCATTAAACTTGCTTGAAATCCATAGTTTATTAGGCTTTATGGTCTTCATGTGCCCATTTATCAACCACTTTAATCTTGTGCTCAACAAGCTTGGGTATAGCATTGTGTTCAGTGTACTGGTGAATTTGAGGTTGAAAATAGGTAAAAGAAACTTCCTGACAGAATGTATCCATGTTAGTGATCAGTATCTACTGTGATTTTTTTCATGTAAAAGCACCAATTAGCTGATGTCTTGATAGCATTCCTATTTTCATGTTATTTAATTAGCTCATAATGAAGAAATGAAGGTTGCTAAAAGTTAAAAATAATTCTTAAAGCTGATATTTTTATAGCAATAAGGGAGATTGACCTCAGTATCAACTGACAGTTTTAAAATTGGGCATTTTCTCTGTTGTTCATATTTTAAAAATACCAGGATTCAAAATTCTAGCTTACTTAAATTTATCACAAAAAAAAGATAGCTGACCAACCTGCTGTAGCTGAACAGATTTTTTTCAAATAATGTGTGATAATGTATACATTATTTCAGGCTCAAAACATCCACTTGTTTATTTTGGGCTGCTTGAGGATTTCTTACCTGGGTTTATATGCATTATAGGTATGATTCATATTCCTTGTTTTAGGTAGTTTCTCAAGTACTTAATATCGAGAAGTGACCTTTTGCAGAAATTTGGATTGGTTTAAAAAACTGTCAATTTATTGAGTCTTTAAAAAGCACCCCTAAAGCATCAGGTTAGTTCTTGAAGCTCAAGAATGTAGTACATGTATAGTATTATGCAAACATGTAGAAAATGATATTAAAATGTGTTAAAATACTTCATGGTCCAAGCAGAACTCACGATCTTGTAGGCGAAAGATGTGAACTTTCTTCTGGTGCAGATGACTCTCAGAACTCTGACCATAGGCTTTTTTTTTTTTAATCCTTACCTTTTCGTTTTAATGTGCTAAGATTGAGCATAATTTTATGTTTAGAAATTGAGTGTAGTTTACTTATCAAACACTCATTCTGTAAGTAAGCAATATTTAGTTGAGAGAGATCTGCCATATGTGGCAGATCTACATGTAAAGATGTATCAAAATAACAGTGAATATTTAGTGCATCGACATTAGTTTAACAAAGGAGTTATTTTCATATTGCAAAGTAGTCCCTCTTTTCCATTTAGCAATACATGAGCTGCAATTATTGTATCTTTTACGTATTGGTGATTTCTTTCAGGGAAGAACTGCTGCTGCAATAGGAATTTAAATTTAAACAGTGTATCAACAGGTATCTTTTTACCCACTTAGCATCATTTTTTTGATTCAGATACTTTATGCTAATAAAAATCAGAGTGAATAATGGATAACTAATACATTTGCATACATCATTGCTGTTTAAATACTGAACAGCAAAAAAATTTTTGGTAAAAATCTTAATATAAACGTTACTCAATTATGTATCTTGTTAACTCATACCTTATTTGTATTTTGTTATTTCCTACCTAGAAGTGGAAGAACTGTTAACTTCTCTTAAGCATATCCAGCACGTTTTGGTAGACCCTCAGAGCCAAGAGGATATCTCTCTCATTTTACAGCTTGTTCAAAATACCGATTTTCAGAATGCATTTAAGATACACAATGCTGTTACAGTGCACATGAACAAAGCCAGCCCTCCATATCCTCTCATCTCCAATGCACAAGAACTAGCGCAAGAGGTATGTACAGTATGCGTCTCTGATATATATGAAACCTATAATCATAGCTGTTGTTGAAATATGTACTTGCCAAGCTTGTCTGAGTTATTGAATGTTGAATAAGAAAGGGATTATAATAGTCACTGATTACTGTATCCAGTTTTTCCAGATTTCCAAACAGTAACCAGAAAAGTATTTGGGGGATAAGAACTCCCTTTTTAGCAGGGAATGATATATAACAGAAAAGGTAATTGCTTAAATATAAGAAAAGGGAGTGGTTATGAAAAATCTCTCTTACCTTCAGTATGCTTTATTCCAAGCATTCAGGAATTCAATTACAGTTCTCTATTATTGTGACTTTCCTCTGAGTTGAGCCATGGTTCTTAAATTGGGAGGCATCTCTGAAAATATAACCATACTGGAAACAAGCATTCTGCTTTAAAGTGAGCAACAGATCCCTTAATACTTAATTTCAATGTTTTAATTACTGCTGTGGTGGTCAAATTACACTTAATTTTTGTCTGGCAGGTGACAGCTCTTTTATAAGATCTGGTATGTCTTTTAGAAATTATTAAAGTATACTTTTAGATATTTACTTGAGCAAGATTTTTTAACTGTAATCTTTTCAGTCAGATCTTGTTTGAAACACAGTTCCAGCCAGGTTAACTACTTTCTTTAAGGCTTACTAACTTGAATATAGATGGATAATACCTGCACAAAATAGCTTTATGAGCATTAGTAGTAAGTTACAGAAAACTCGCCAGATACCAAGTTGCTATGAAAAGAATGAATTTTCGCATGCAGCTGGATGCAGCTAAGACCCTCTGAGGGGTTGCTCAATAACTTTATTTTTATGTTCCATAGCGTGGTGCATGCATTGCAGCGAAGTGTGGCTACACCTTACACAAAGATACATGTGTTAACTTTAAACTAGCTAGCTTGAATTCCAGTATCAGTGCAAGTGTAGCACTGTAGTGTTCAGCAAAGCCAGATCCAGAGGCTGGGTAAATGCTCCAGCATTTAGCACCCAGTGAACCAAACTTACCTGTTCAAAACTGGCTCAGGTATACCAGTTGGAGTACCTGAGCCAGTATATAGCCATTTTCCAGCTGCTGAAAGGCACATCACTACAATTTCAGTATGGCAGCAAGTTGATTTTTTTATCTGGTTTTCTTTCTGCCTGAGGCAGAATTTTTTTTCAACAGCTCTTTCAACTCTCCTTCCTTTTTCTAGACTTTAACCTTGTAAGTCAAGGAAAACAGCATTGTAGCAAGCTTGAAGTTCTTTTGCAGAAGAAGTTACAGATTCTTCAGGGACATCATTTAAATGTTATCTAAAGGTGCAGTGTACTTATTAAACTGCAGCTCAGGATTATCCTGTTCAGATTTGTAGTAAGACTGTGCCAAAAACAGGTGGGAGTATTTTACATATGAGCTTCCCTCTGGCTTATAGCAGCCTACAGGCTGATGAATAGGATCCTCACTAGACGACTTCGATGTCTTCAAGCCTGAAGGAACCTTTAACACAGGCCTAGTTTGGGATTTCATTGATACAGTTTTTGAATCTTCATTTATAACATAGGGTGTTACAGATTTATCTCTTAAGCTGTTTTTTTCCACTTCATGGATATGAAGTCCTTTTATTTGCTGCTTAATAGAATCTTCCAAGACGAAAATATGCCTAGGAAAACTCTAGGCCTGTTTTCAAATTTTGTATTCCTCCCCATCTTCACTACCCCTCATCTTTCCAACACATCACCCTCTTTTTTTCAGGTGATTTGGTAAATCCTAAAATCAGAAGGTGGTGCAAAGCCAGTTTTGTGTCTCTTAGCAGTCCATGAAGAAGATCAAGCATAAAGAAAATATTTCTTTAATCTAAAGTTTTTAAATCAATGGAATTTTGTCACCACCCAGGAGACTATTACATAAAAGGCAAACATATTCCTGTACTCATTTTGATTCTTCATCTCCCATCCTTGTCTTGTCCAGCCTTGACGTTCCTGAAAAGTCAATGTATTGCATATGTCTGTTCCCATTTTCAGATGCAATCTAGTTTCTTGGTGATTCAGCTTCTGGTGTATTTAAGGGACTTGTATTTTGCAATATGTTAAGTAGCATCCTGAAGTGATCGAGCTGGAAATTCAGGACAAATATTTCTGTGACTGACAGAAGTGTCTGAAGAGGAACACCTTGAAGCCTCCATTCACGCAAATCTGTACTTTCTAGTTGTGCTTGAATAGAAGATCTTATGCTCGTTTTTCACATTCTTTATTCCTTTTGGAAAGACTTCTGTATTTGTTATGGTAGCAGTATGGAAGGAGATTATTTCTGCTTTAGAAAAAGTTGGGTTTATTATTTTTTTACCCTGACAAAGTGCACATCTTGCATGTCCAGGTTTTTTTTCTTATACTGTGATTTTTGATTGTGTCTTTTACTTTTTCCGTCCCTAAACATAGCATTGGGAAGCTCCCCCAGAAAGTAGTTCATTAACTTACTTCAGGGTGTTTTTGAAAAGACACTTGCAAAAGCCTGAATTTAAGATACTGATAACATCTTGATGATAAAAGCCACAAGACATTACAAGAAAGAAAAATAGCAGATACACGCATAACATTAATTTTAAATGGCAGGTAATGCTAATGTGCATATTTTAGTGCACAGGTCATCAGTGACAGTGTATAACTCTGAAGCTGTTTTGGAGTGTGTGTCCTAATTTAAAGCTACAGACATGTTTTGTTTGAGGCTTTATGATGTAGGTGAGAACCTGTTCTAGAGTTCAGGCTTCTGTAGCTCTAACAGGAAAAGATAGTTTGTAACACAATTTCATGTTGCAACATGAAACATCCTCCCTTTAAAAAAAAAAAAAAAAGATTTAATCAACTTACACTTTTGGAAGTGTGTTTGGAGGGAATTATCATTTGCTATGCTGAACTTAATTTAATAAAGTCTGGTTTGACTTACTCTTTGATTTGCTTTTATAAAATGTGTATGAACAGTGTGTTGTGAAAACTTATTTGATTTGAATTTTTTAACCATTAAGAATACATGATAGTAGAATAGTACATTTTTATTTTCAAGTCCTCTTTAGGAAATTCTTAAAATTAGTAGTACACTTGTACAGTTAACTTCTCACACTGATTCTGATAACCAGGTACCAACAACTCAAGATGTTTGCATTTTTTTAAAAGAAACTTTAATTAAATTTAAAAGGTGGAATGAAGCACTTGAGCTTAAGGAATTTATTATAGAGAGCTAATCTTCGTGTAATGTGGTGTACTCCAAGTCTTAAACAAAAATAGCCAGTAAACATCAAGTGTAATTAAATTGATTTTAAATCCATTTAAACTTGAACAAGATGGGGGCAAGGATTATGGGAACATGATCTGAATTTTGACCTTGTAAGAATATTTGATGCAGCATTCAAGACAGTTTGTAATTTTTGGCCTGTAACAGCCCATATCAAATATCCTAAAGATGTTTTTGCTATTAAATATACTTAATAGGCTCAATTTATATAGGCTATGTTTCTAAAGGTTTTGGACATGCTGCTGTTCACTTCAGCAAGCACAGGCAGTTAAACTAGATCAGTACTTTTGAGAGGATGCACTGGAAGTTTGTAACTTCTGGTATAAGTGCATTACAATGTGTATGTATACTCCCTCTGACAGTCCTGCTCACCTGAGAGTAAACAACAGGATTTTTGCAGGTGCAGTTAAATTCTGAATGTTTAATATCACTCCAGTGTGTGCCTCCACAGTACATGCCTCCAAATTGTGGCATGTACAATGAAACCAAATTGATAGCTTTTTGGGGGCTGCTAGACCTAAAGTTAACGTAATTAACAATAAAAACTAGGCTGAAGAGTTAAGAAAATACTATTCTTACCACATATGTGGGGTGGGGATTGCCTATCGTATCTGTAATGTGTCCCTTTTGGAATGACAGCCTACATTCAAATTCTTCATCTGATGAAACTGATAAAAGAATTTGCCATGTGGCAATACTGGTGTAATAAGTGTTGTCTATAGCAGCCTGAAGCTTTCCTAGCGCTTCATTAAATAAACAAATAATAAATGTATCTTCCTCTAAAAGAGGGGGGAGCTCTTAAAGTTTTGAATAATTAAATTATTCAAAGCAGAAATTGAACTTGAATAAAGGATATTTGCCACACACAGAATGACTGGTTGGGTCTGGTTGCTTTCTTTCCTCCTGTTGAATCCCCAACCTCTGACCTTGCATTCAGAAGGTTGTCTTGCTTGCAGGACTTCTAAGTTGCCTTCCGAGTAGGTTTTCCTGGATAAAAAGGCTTAAAAGCTTCTTGCAGCTTCTTCAGGAAAGGAATTGAAAGCCCTTAGAAAGTTAAGAGACCTTAAATAAACCTCTATGAGAAAGTCTTTTGTAGAGAAGAATCTCTTCTTTCAACACAGAGGAAAATTTGTTAGTGAAATATATCCTTTACAGTGCTCTGTCTGCTATATGGCATCCCAAAATTCAGCCTAAGCAGGGGATAATAGCTTCCTGGCCGGTTCAGAAGTATGACTAAGGTCAGGCCTATATGAAGCTGAACTCTTTCTGTTCTCTAAGGTTTTAAAGAAATAGGTTTAAAAACTTACTTAAATCTGGCTTCTTGTTTGGCTTTTGTAAGCTATACTAGGTTTGTTCACCATGAGGCATGTTCTAGGAGTGTCAGAAGGAAGGCTTCTGGCAGTTGTGCCAGGTTTATTGCTAAGCACAGGAACTTGTTCCATGTGATGGTGTTTTGTTGGCAATGTAAGGATCTTGCTCCATGGGTACAGTCAGTCCACTTAGTAGCTTCTGCTAGAATTTAAAATTATATTTACTGTTTTCAGTACTGTCATCTGGTAGTGTCCAAGAGAGCTGTTAGCACTTTTGTAGATAATTGCCCCTAGGATAGAGGCTCTTCAGATCTTTAGATATTGTTAGATCACACAAAAAGCTTGATGATTTTCACTTTGGAACTTGTGGTTTCTTGATTCTCTGTAATGACACATAACTTCATCCTTAAGAGTAGAAAGCTCTTGAAAAAAATCTATCCCACTGAAAGCTGCTGTTCTGATATATATAATCTACTCTTGATGTTTCTGGATTCATTTGTGCTTTTGGACTTGTGTGCTTTTGGTCTAATTAGGACAGAGGATAATGGCTATGGAAAGTATCTTCTTTAGCCTCGCCTTTGGGTAAGGAGGACTTCCCTGTTTCTGGCTTTCTCTGTAAGCGTACCAGGATTTTCTAGTATTCGCAAGAGACGATGGCAAGGCATGTTTGGTAATTGTATGAGAAGGCAAACGTTTTTAGGCAACTGAAGCTGCTTGAACAAAAGCTGTCCTTGTGTTCAGGTGGATTATTTTGGAACCAGTCAAAGAAACCTGGTTTCCTGGGGCCTTTTGAAGTTTTGACTCACGTACTTACTGAGGCAGGGGTTCTAGGATGCATTGCAAAACCTGTCTTGGAATCTTCAGTCTTGCTGTTGGTGGAAAAACTTTGGATAAAGATAAACTATTTGCTTTTAAGGAAAAGAGAGGCTAGTCCTGTTAATGAGCAGTTAATCCATTTTAAAAGACCCAGCATATTCACATTATAGACTTCATTGTGACTGATTTCACTATCATGTTCCTTTCTGGTGTTTAATTTTTTTGTGTGCATCCCTGTGGTATCTGAGCTCATTGCCAGTCTCTGGTATTGACAAATCACAGAATCATTAAGGTTGGAAAAGACCTTTAAGATCATCAAGTCCAACCATCAATGTGACACCACCATGCCCACTAAACCATGTCCTGAAGTGCCACATCCACACGTTTTTTGAACACCTCCAGTGATGGTGACTCCACCACCTCCCTGGGCAGCCTGTTCCAATGCTTGACCACCCTCTCGGTGAAGAAATTTTTCCTGATATCTAGTCTAAACCTCCCCTGGCACACTTGAAACTATTTCTGTCATTAGTTACTTGGGAGAAGAGACCAACACCCTCGTCGCCACAACCCCCTTTCAGGTAGTTGTAGAGAGTGATAAGGTCTCCCCTCAGCCTCCTCTTCTCCAGACTACAAAACCCCAGTTCTCTCAGCCGCTCCTTGTAGGACTTGTGCTCCCAACCCCTTACCAGCTTCGTTGCCCTTCTTTGGACACGCTCCAGCACCTCAACATCCTTCTTGTAGTGAGGGGCTCAAAACTGAACACAGTATTCGAGGTGCGGCCTCACCAGTGCCGAGTACAGGGGCACGATCACTTCCCTACTCCTGCTGGCCACACTATTTCTCATACAGGCCAGGACGCTGTTGGCCTTCTTGGCCACCTGGGCACACTGCCAGCTCATGTTCAGCTGGCTGTCAACCAGCACCCCCAGGTCCTTTTCTGCTGGGCAGCTCTCCAGCCACTCCTCCCCAAGCCTGTAGCATTGCATGGGGTTGTTGTGACCCAAGTGCAGGACCCAGCACTTGGCCTTATTAAACCTCATACAGTTGACCTCTGCCCATCGATCCAGCCTGCCCAGATCCCTCTGCAGAGCCCTCCTACCCTCCAGCAGATCAACACTCCCACCCAGCTTAGTGTCCTCTGCAAACTTACTGAGGGAGAAGCATCATCATCATCTCTGTGATGCATTGGATACCAGCTTACGTTTGGTAGACAGTTACTGAGGCAAGATGAGCTGGAGTAGCCCTGTAGTCTTACTGCATGTTTTCCTAATGTGTGCCAGATTAAGTTCAATCAAGTCAGCGTAACAGTTACATGGATATGCTTTCAGTAAAATTAATAATTGCAACCAGGGGTTTGTCCTTGAGTAGCACAGGGTGGATTGATAAAACATCGGGTAGGCTGAGTTTTACAACTTGATTTCTTTTTAGGTACAGAGTGTTTTGAAACCCAGTCACCACAAGGATGGGCAGGAGCTTAATGCTTTGCTGAATGCCCCTCACATGCAGGTAAAACAAAATGGAACTTCTGATCTAATGGATTTATTTCTTGGTGCTGTTTTCAGTATAACTTGTTTTTTGCAAATGTCTTGGGCTAACTGGGCAAGGATAGATTTTATTCTTCAACTCTATGCAGATCTCAGTATTTTTCTGGCATGAGTTTCCAATTTCCAGCAACTAGTGGAAACTTCTAATCAAGTGAAGTGCATGATTGTGTTCAGCCCTTGCTACATTCTGTATGTGTTAGAGGGTAATTTGCACATAAACTATGTAGCAGGAGATCAGTAGGGTCAGGGCAATGCATGAGCTGGTTTACTTATCTGTCTTTTCTTCTTTGACAGCTCTTTCATGCTTATCATAAGGTGCATAAAGGAAATCTTGTCCTGTGGTGATGATGTAAATCCATGAGTAGTTTTCACTGCGGTAACTTCTTATGTCTCTATCCTCAGTGACATACATAGTAAACCACTGGTTTTTTTAGGAAGGAGAAGCTGTAAGTGCTGTCACAGTTGTGTGTTCAAAATTGCTTTTTTATTCTTTCCCAATCTGAAAGTTTTGGAAAGTATGTAGCAGTAGGCACTACATAGTTGTGATAATTTTTTTATTATTATTGCTTGAGTCAGTTTGCAATATTCTGTAACCTGCAAATACTATTAAAATTGCAGAATTTCATTAACCTCTACTATTTTGTATAAATATTGAGTGTGAAATTTTCTGTAACTGAACTGCTTTTGTTTAACACTAGGCACTCTTACTGGCTCATGATAAGGTTGCGGAACAAGAAATGCAACCAGAGCCTGTGACAGATGAAAAAATTTATGAGAATGTTGGTGTGTATGGAGGGGAGACAGTTAAAATAGTTCGCATTGAGAAAGCTCGGGATATTCCATTGGTAAGTATATGTAAAGGAGGTAAGCTTTTTTGCCCTCTGCAGATTGCTATGAATGTTTTAGAATTTGAATGTGGAGCTGATGTTAACTTGTAAACACTCTCCCTCCCTCAAAAATGAGAAGTAGTCATAAATGATGAACTTGTGTGTATTTTCATATAGCAGTAGCTGTACTGCCATTTAGAATCTATACAACTTCTGTCAACTTGGGTTTAGACAGCACTTCTTGACAGAAGTCACTATCCCAAGCTTTGGTGCAGGGGAGTTTAAAGCCTTGTGCCAACCATGAGGGGTTTTTGGGGGTTTTGGGGATTTTTTTCCCAACTCACATTTTCTATTTTGCATCTTTCAAATAAGTGTTTCCTTAGGAAAACTTTTTTTTTTTAAATCATTAATCTTATGGTGTGGAGCTATTCAATTCTTCAATCTTTAGTGCAGATTGAAGAAATTAAATGGTGGTTTTTTAAACTGGTGCATTGGGTGTATGCATCCAAGCTGCTACTTGCATTCTCTTTCAATATAGAGATATTTCTTCACTGGCTTAGAATAGATACAATAAATGGCTTTGAGTTTCATATATATATAATAAATTCAGAATGTGTTGCTACTACACAGGGTGCTACTGTTCGCAATGAAATGGATTCTGTTATCATTAGTCGAATAGTGAAAGGAGGTGCCGCAGAGAAGAGTGGGCTGTTACATGAAGGGGACGAAGTTCTGGAGATTAATGGCATTGAGATTCGTGGAAAAGATGTTAATGAAGTTTTTGACTTGCTGGTGAGTTAGACCCTTCTTGTTTTCCCTGGAAAAAGTACTCATTTCGTAAGGCTGAAGCCTGTTGGCTCTGCTTGTCATTTATACTCATTTTTAGCATTAGTTTTAAAAGTATTTTCACTCTGATAACTAGTGTTTATATGGGGAGGGCCATTTCAAGTTTTCTTTCTAATGCATGGTATGATATGAATAAGTTTTTAATGGCAGTTATCTGCAAAAATGAAGCCTAGGAAGGTGGAAGAGTTAAGTAAGCTGGGGGTGAGTGAGAGGGTGGCAGGGAAAACAGCTGGGATAGCTGACCCAAATTGACCATAGTGATATATCATGCCATATAACATCAAGCTGAGCTGTAAAAACTGGGTGGTGAGTGATTGCCTTTGCAGCACTTGTTGGGTGGGGGTTTTTTCCCTTCACTTATTAAACTCTCTTTACCTCCACTCACATGTTTTTCTTGCTTTTGGTCTTCCAATTGTCTCCCCCATCCTGCTAGGGAAGGGAAGTGAGTTAGGCGCTGGTGGGTGCTTAGTTGCTGGCCCCACTTAACCCACCACAAGTTGTGTCACACCAGACTTTTACATGAATACAACTCTTAGTCTTTCCCTCCTGATAAAAATCCTTTTGTCTATCAGTTTACCAGCATAGTCATTTTTCTGTTTTATTACACTTTTACCATTCATGACAAAATTATACATCAGTTCGAAAGCAGCTAGTCAAAACAATAGGCAAGAAATCCATCAGGAACTAGTAAATGCAGAGTTATTCTCTCCCAAAGGCCTGGTGAGGTAGAATGTCAAAAGCTGGGAATTGCCAGTAGTTTCTGTTGCCTAATACTGCTTGTTTTTCTCATGCTTTTCCCTGGCATCTGCTGTTGATCAGTGTCCAAGATGGGACACCTGGAACCTGGCTATGAATCTTTGTCCTGATTGCAGCAGTTAAGACCATTCTGTCAATGTGAAAACAGATGAAAATGACAATTTTTTTAAAAGCTAATTTATAACTTTGATACAAAACGTTGGAAATACCCACTAGCACTTATTTAATAGATCTTTGGGGGAAAAAAAAAAGATAAATATATTTAGTAAATCTTGGAATTTCTTAGTAGATCTAGAGTATAGTTGAATCAAAATCAGGACAAAGACCTGGGTTCTGCTTTAGGTTGCATTACTGTAGTAAGAATAGACAGCAGTGTTATCCGTGGATGAAGTTGTCTCATGCTACAGGAAGACTAGTTTTTAATGGACAATTTCCACCTTCAGTTGGATTTTTTTCTGAAATTTGCTGTTAAAATTTTTCAGGTAATGCATGGAATGAAGTCAGGTGGAGGGAAGCAGAGGCAAAAATGGGGAGTGGAGTTTTTTAAAAAGCCATTTTAAAAGGTTCTTAGTTTTTTGAAAAGCCTTCGATCTCCTTGTGGTTGATGGCTCAGAGATATCTGAGATTCCTCATGTTCTGCAATTGTCTTCATTGCCATTGGTGTGTTTTGTTTTTTTTTTTAAAGTCGTATTTAGCTAGGTCCTATGCTTCTGAAAAGAGTATTTTGTACATGCTTGGCAGATAACTCTGGCAGTTCTCTGCAGAGAGCTTGTTCTGCACTTGAGCAGCTGCTGCAACTTAGAGTTACAGAATAAAAGATTTAAAACCACAATACATTAAGAGCAAATTACTTGCTGAAAATTAAAAAAAAAAAAAAACACCACAAAAAACCCTTATGTGTTTTTAACATAGATTTTAAAATCATTCATTTAAAATAATATTTTAATTGTTTGTGTTCTCTATTGTATTTTGTAATGTGGAAGTGAAGTTTTAAGATGCTTCAGTCCCCAAAAAGTACTTAAAACAAGCACGGCAGAAGGAAATTACTTTCCTTCTTAATTTTGCCTCACCACTTGCTATGCAAATGATAATAAACTGTGCATGACTTTAGACAAGATTATTCACACAATCACTGTGAAATTCTATACATTCCTTGTGGAACTATGTGTGCTGACTGAAAATCATGGACCTTCCCTTCCTGTAGCCTAATCATGTTATGCTCAGTTATGTTTATTTAAAGCCTTAGGTCTGAATTTTTTGAGAACATGCGTACGCTTTGGTTTTATGCAACATAAACTGTTGTGTTACAGTTCACGGAATGATGTATGGGAAGTGAGACACAAGTAGACCTTGCCACAGGTTGGCACTTGCATTTTATCTAGATATTCATTATGTGTGTAAACACTCTACATACAAGAGTGTGCAAACAAATAAGAATTCTTTAAAGCCAGGGCATATATTATGTTCTACTTTCTTAGTAGGGATGATTGCAATATTGGTATTAAGTACTTTACAGATGCCGGATTTGAGTGTGTTCATTAAATTTTTAAACAGTGCTTTGTATACTTTAATGTTAACAGCAGAAAATCATAGTAAAAACATTTAGATTTGAAAGCACTGTTCCACTTAAGCAATTTTAGAGAAATAATAATCTTTTATGTATTTTTTTTCTACCCAGCATAGATCCACTTGTTGATATTTCTGAACAGAACAAGAGAATATTATTCTCCATTTCTCCTAAGCCTCTGTTTGACAGAATTGCAGCTGCTCCATTTCAAATAGAAATAGTTTATGTATAATCAAGAATGCTAGGTTTTTCAAATCTGAATGTCAACATTTGACTTTCTACCCTGTCCCTGAGTCACTGCATCTGTATCTGTACTATATCTTTTAAACCAGTTAAGAGGTAGATGATGTGCTGTGAAGAACTGTGTTTTTGGTTTGGAAGTTTTTGAAGCAGTTTTCTAAAATGTGTTATTTATTACAAGTCCTAACCGTAAGCCATATTTTGATACTGTATATAAAGAGTCTATTTTTCATCTCAGGCTGACATGCATGGTACTCTGACCTTTGTATTGATTCCCAGTCAGCAGAGCAAGCCACCTCCTGCGAAGGAGACAGTTGTAAGTAGTTCTACGTAATTTCTTGAGCTTGGGGATACATACCTTGTTTTTTCAGTAATGTGTAGAAATTTCTTCTATAGGTTATTAACATTGTGGAACAAAACCAAAACTTAATCATTTAAATTGGTTTGTTACCCAGCTAACATCCAAATTAACTGTTGAAAATGGTTGATGGTGTTAAGCTGAAACTCTTAGTATGCTTTTAACTCTGTTTCTAAAATAGTTAGAAATTATAGAAGATCTGCCTGTGTGTCTGAAATTCTGTTTTGAAATTCCCAATTTCTCTATTTTTTTATATATATACACACACACACAGATTGGTGGAAATTGCAAATATGCTTTGGGAGGAAAAGTTTGTATACTCAAAACTTTGTTCAGTATCTTTTTAGCTCATGTACATTTTTTCAGACAGAGACTTTAACAGCTTGAAGAAAGAATGTACTGATTTATATCACAGCCAAACAAAAACATTAATGGTTGGTGACAAAATAAAATATTTTACGAGTGAAACTTCACCTAAAGCCCAGAAAACGGGGTTTCAATCTGTGTATTTTTTAGCGATTTTAAACAAATCAGAATATCTCTGATACTTTCTGAATGCAATGAACTCAAATCGGTAGGTCAGGGTCATTTTGCTTCCTAAAATGGTGAGGAAATTGCATAGACTTTAGAATTAACAAGAGTTAAATTCAGGCCTCTTCCTCCAACCTAGCACAACTGTGTCTCTTCCACTGCTAACCTAAGTAATGTTTCCAGTATCTCCTGTATGCCCCAGATGAAGTTTCCATTTTATAGAATCTTGGAGTTTTTAATATATCAGAACTCCACTGCAATCACAGGACGATGAGGTATAATTCTTCAGAAGTCACAGGGTTTTTTTCTTCTGTTTTTACATTTGATCTTCCACAGATACATGTGAAAGCACATTTTGACTATGATCCGTCTGATGACCCTTACGTCCCCTGCCGAGAGTTGGGCCTCTCTTTTCAAAAAGGAGATATACTCCATGTCATCAGCCAAGAAGATCCAAACTGGTGGCAGGCGTACAGAGATGGAGATGAAGATAACCAGCCATTGGCAGGCCTTATCCCTGGTAAATAAAGCTCTAGAAAAAGTGTGACAGCCAGTTGTTCCCATAGCTACAGGAGCAATATTGTGGTTTTCAAAGACTCATATACCCTTAAATACCCATTACCTTAAATATCTGTGACTTTGAACCTTTTGCCACAGAGCCTATAGTTGCTTTCGTAATTCACTTACTTAAAAGGTTGACGTTTTAGAGGCATCGACCTTTTAGAGGCATCTCCATGTATAGATGTTAAATGCAGAATAAAGCTACCACTTCCACTGCAGTTCACCTTTCAAGTGCTGCTGTCCTCTTTCTTTATTCCTCCACCTTGGGGACTCTGTGGATTCAGAGTTCCCTCTGCTGGCTACAGCAGAAATGTGGGCCTTGAGCCTGCTTATTCTCTGGAGATGAGAACAGGCGTTAGGTTTCTTACTCTATCAAAGTCTGTTCGAAAAATTTACCTTTTTTCATGAGCTTCAGTTACCTGTAACAGTCATGCTTCCTTTCTTGTTGGGGGCCTTTAAGTCATGGGGTTTTCCGACATTGAAGTCAGTATGTCATTTTTGCATTGAAATATGTATTGCACTCTAGTCCATTAAAGATCTGCTGATCTGTTAAACACAGTGAACAAAAGATTTCAAATTCCATAGAATATCACACTGTTACTTTATGACATTTGAGTAAGTTGAGGAGGAATGCTGATTCAAATATAGGCTAATCTTTTTCAAGTTGAAGTTCAAAAGGTTTAGTATAAATAGAACATATTTAACATACAAAAATAATTAGAAAACCGTATCATCATAGTGGGGAAATGCAGTCTTTACAGTAGTTTTAATTTTCTAGGTAAAACTGTCCAGAATAGTACAAATGCTCTGCAAGTCTGTCTTGATGAATATATTTTCAAAGTAATAAACAAGCTTTGCAGCAATTTTACTTTTGCTTTTTAAATTTCTCCTATATCATAGAATCTTGGGTTGGAAGAGACCTTTAAAGGTCATCTAGTCCAACCCCCCTGCAGTGAGCAGGGACATCTTCAACTAGATCAGATATGTCATATTCTCCTAGAACCTTCAGAGATGTAAAAGCGTAGGAAAAACTGAGTAAGTCATCACAAAAAGGTATGGAAGTGGTCTCTAAATGTTAACTGCTTTTGTACTTTTTTTTATGCAATAAGGAAAAAGTTTTCAGCAACAAAGAGAAGCAATGAAGCAAACCATAGAAGAAGACAAGGAGCCAGAAAAATCAGGTTGGATATATGCTTTCCAAGGGAAAAAAAAAAAAATTCTAAGTCTTATAAAGGTGCTAATTAGTGCTATCTGGAACCTTGTCATTGCAGAGTTGTAGAAAATTCTTCCATTTTTTAGTAATACAAGTGGGATGATTCTTTGAAGTTCATGTAAATACGGGTCTGAATTTAGCACTTTGCTGTAAAAATCACATGGTTTTTTTCATAACTGTGTGCAATGTAATTAGGATGATGTAGGGGAATTTGGAAAGCCCCTTTTCTCGTAAAGAATTTTATCTGCCTTGACTCAGTTGAAGTTGCTTAATACACCAAACCTTTGTAATGAACTGAAGAATATTATGCCTTTTCAAAAGTGCAGAATAAATTCTCCACTTTAAAGATCCAGCTAGTGGGTGGGATAGGAAGCTTTTTACTGTATGGGTATTTGATTGTGATGATTTTTATTTTGGTTAGGAAAACTCTGGTGTGCGAAGAAAAACAAAAAGAAACGGAAAAAGGTTTTATACAATGCAAATAAAAATGATGGTAAGCAACATCTTTTGCACAGCATGTGCACTTATAAGCAACCATAAAAGATCCTACGAATACATTGCCTGTGAAAAGAAGGCTGAAATTCAGAATATGATGTTAGAAATATTGCCTGATGATGTTCTGTTTGAGAACAGTAGTGTGGTTTGTTAATAGCATTTAGTGACAGATGTAAAAGAGGTGGCAGAATTTGTAGGGTCATTTAGTGTCTTTAATGAAGACCAGATGATAGGGGTAAAAAAACCAGCTTTTTAGGCATGGAAGCACTCATGATTTTACAATGATGAAACAATTTATTATTGTTTTGTAATATCATCTCAGCCTGTATAAATACATTTAGTAAATGGAAACTCTCTTCACAGAGAGTTTGTAGGCTATGTTTACTATATTCTTACATAAGTACTTTGGCATTGGGATAATGATTTTTGTTGTTATTGGGCATAAATAGTCATTCTTGTACTAGAAACTCATTCCTTGGCAAGAAAGTTCTTTCTTGAGTTTATGCTGCTACTTGTACCAGTAGTAAGTGGAAACACGTTTTCTTTCTCCAGAAAGGGGGAAGAAAAAGCCTCATTTTACTGGGCAAGTGATCATCTTTGGGGTTCTGTTATTTTGGTGACTCACAGTTAGATGCTGGGCAGAGTCAGGTGCTGCCTGAAACTCGACACTGCATGACAGGCAATATATGCAACTAGCGGTAAAGTATGTTGTGACCATTTTATTGTTCCTCTCTCGAGATTATGACAATGAGGAAATTTTGACCTATGAGGAAATGTCACTGTATCATCAACCAGCAAATAGGAAACGGCCTATTGTTCTGATAGGCCCACAGAACTGTGGCCAAAATGAATTGCGGCAGCGACTTATGAATAACGAAGTGGATCGCTTTGCCTCTGCAGTTCCGCGTAAGTTTGATGGGCAGATACAATTGCTTATTCTAAACATTGTCTGTAGACAAATCCTCTTGTGTTGAAAATAGCAGTTAGGAGTTTGGGGGTTTTGAGCAGGATATAGTCAGCTCATGGATAAAGGATAAATAAGGTTACATCTTGTGTGGCAAAAAGAAGCCTTGGTAAGTCAATGCAAATCCAGTGTTCCAACACAGTGTTATAGAGGCATTATAAGACATGCATATATTTCAGTTTGAATAAAATCGGAGTGAGTTATGGAAGTTTAAAAAAGAAACTGGTACATCAGTCAAAGAATTTTTAACTTGCATATCCTGCCTAAATTTAAATTTAGGTGGCTTTAGTGCTTTCCCAAACTACTTACATTTCAGTGAATTTTATATTTTTAATGTCTAATGTACCCTAAATTAGGTTTACAAACAGCTTAACAATATAGCTTGTTAAAAACAACTAATAACTGTTTTCACATACAGAATGCAGCTGCACAGGTGAAGCTATTCCTTTTCCTGTTGGCTTTTTTTTTGCCTCTGGATAGTGTAAACAAGACTTCTAAATGTAGGTTCAGCCATTGGCAACTTAATCTGTCCGGGGATATTTATTGTAGAAAATTAAATACTTGCATTTCTTGGATATTTCAAATGCCTTTTTTGCTTGGTTAGTAATGTCTTTCCTAAGGGAAACACTTCTCAATTTCAGTTCTACAGGTATATCACTGTCTCGATTTCTTTTTTGTTGATCTTCTTTCTAGATACTACTCGGAGCAGGCGAGAAACTGAAGTAGCTGGCAGGGATTACCATTTCATTTCCCGACAGGCATTTGAGAGTGACATAGCTGCAGGGAAGTTCATTGAATATGGGGAGTTTGAGAAGAACCTCTACGGTACTAGCATAGACTCCGTACGGCAAGTAATCAACTCTGGCAAGATATGCCTTTTAAATCTTCATACCCAGGTATGGCAAAGCTGTTGCCTCTCGTGTTTTAATTGTAGAAGCTACTGTGAAACTCCAAAGAGCTGTATTTGGTTAATATAAAAGTAGTGTGTTGTCAAGGTCCGTTTTCATGTTTATTCCAAGTTTTCTTTTAGTGGTGTTCAGTTAACTCTATTTAGTGTGTTATGAGTACAGCCTTCTTGTTCCTTGTTTGGAAAGATACACATCTTCTTTATCTGTGCTAAAGGTAAAAGGGGCCTTGGCTTCCAGATATTTGAAGCTGGTGAGAAATATCTGAATTGAAATATTAATTAAAATAAGATTTGTGTGTCTCAGTCTTCCAATTACTCTGTGAGGCCTGAGGTTTTGGAAGATGGAGGGGAAGTTGCTTGTGACTATACTTGGAAACTGCATTTGGAGAATGTTTATACAGTTCCATAACAGACAGGATTAAAGTACATAACATCAAAAATAGTGAAAAGCTCTTTAGCTATGACCTTTTGATTATGGAGAAAGAAGAGACAAGCTATTCATACAGACCTCAACTTGGAAATTTAGTTAACGTGGGAAGAGGCATTGTCCTGGAACGCAGACCCTTTTCTAATACATGCAATGTGTATGAGGTCTGCTGCTGTTACAGATGCTGAGAAAGAATCCTCGAAACTCAGACACATCAGTAGAGTCTGGTAGTATTGAAGCTATAATTAGCCATCACCAGTTGGGACCATGTCATACTTTACTAGAATAGCTCATGGGTATCGCAAAGCATGTAGTAAGTTGAAAATTCATGACACTTTGAAAATTGACCTAATTCTGTGGTTATAAAATCTGTCTCGGAGGAAAGTTGTTTGTCCCAGGACACATAGAAGGAAACTTTTGGAAAGATCAAACTACAGTTTGGTTCTTTTTATTTCCTGTCTCTTAATATAAATGTAACCTTCCCCCAAAAAATATGCTAAGCACGCAGTAGTAGTGCATCTGATACCTTGTATTTTAATCTTCAAAACAGAAAAAGTTAAACTGTAGTATATAAAGTGAACTGTAATATTTAAAGACTCTTCTCTGTTAAAAGCTGATATCATTCCTTAGCATTGTAATTAATTCAATGTAGGTGACTTTTTTTTTTTTAGCTTTTGGATACCAAAAGATAAGTTCCGTCAGTTTAGTTAAGAAGAATATTCTTGCACAAAAGTAAATGTTTGGGTTCCATGAAGCTGAAAAATGTTGAAATATCAATTTTGTAGGAAAAGGTCACTGAACTCTGAGTGGTGATGATAATTCTGTTATGGTTAATCATACTGCTGTTAATATATTGTACAATTGTCATTGTGTTTGAAGAGTATATTATCAATTATAGCATGTGAATAATGCATTATTAAATGCCCTTTTCATATGTAGAACTGTTCAATATTTAGTAAATCCTATTTCTGCAGTCACTGAAGACACTACGTAATTCTGACTTGAAGCCATACATTATATTTGTTGCACCACCTTCACAAGAGAGATTACGTGCTTTATTGGCCAAAGAAGGGAAAAACCCAAAGGTAATGTTTCTAACACTACTTCAGAAACTGTGCTACTTTTTATTTACAGATCTGGAATGCTTTTGGTAAAAAAATTTGTATACTCTTTATGTAGAATTGGGAGATGGTGATGGTACTGACAATACATGGGAAACAGTATAGTCGAGATATGTGTGCCCCAGGTTACTAGGCAGACCATACTAAGGGAGGGATTCAGGATGCTTTCACCTAACTGAATGTGAGAAATATGAGGCAAGGGAATCCACTGCTAATTCAGTAATCCTGGGGCACAGTGTCTCAGTTGGGGTCTCTGCATTTGGGTACAAAAATATGACCTTTTATTTCAAAACTGTGGAAAACCCAACTTTGTCCTGAAGTAAACCTGAGAGTAATTCTAGGGAGCAAATGATTATTGTTTTTCTTTGGAGAACTATCTGCCCTTAGAAAAGCATTTACTTGAAAAAATAGTCCAAAACTCTTCAGATAAATTTATTTTAGTGCTTGATCCTGTAGGATCACTTTTCATGTTTCAACCAGAGGTATGTCAAGATTTTGGCCTATCCAGTTCAGATCATTCAGTTAAATGAGAAGTTAGTCCTGCAATATTATAGATTAAACCAGGATGTCTGAAAGCTCAGAAAAGGTCCTTATCAGCTTACGAGATACAAAGTGCTTATTGCTAGGATAATGAAATATGTTGATCTTCAGCTTTTTAACTGAAGCCTACCCTACAGTGGTTGGTGAGAGCACTTTGCCACCCTAGTATCTCCAAAGTGCATAGTGCAGTTCATACTGAGGAAGAACAGTCTTCCCAGCATAACACAAAGGGACTCCTGTTGCAGCTGTTGGTCAGGAATTGAATGTCACTGTGCTCCACAAGCTGTGTTTTGCTCTCCTTGTTTGATGCAAGGGTGATGTATTGCCTGGATGTAAAATCTAAAAGTCCATTGAAGTCAAGTCTTAAAACAGAGGTATTTTTCTTTTTTACTTTTTTCCCCCGCAGAGTCAAATGTCATAGTCCTTAAATGGGCATGTTTCCTCCTTCATGGTTATGCAATGAATGAAACTTTATTTTACATAAATACTTCATCTTATATATGTCTTGGGTTTTTTATTGCAGTGGTCAAGGAATCCATTTGCAATAAAAATCAATACACTGTTATTGGTGTTAAACTATGCCTGTTTTCTTTCTGATTAATTGTATTTATTTCAGTTCGGTAAACACTACTGTGTTAAACCCCTTCCCTTGATAAAGAAAAGGGTATTTCTTGTAGGTATGCCTATATGTGGCTTTGATTTTTCTTAAGTGTATATAACACCTAGAAAAAAATCTTGAAGGTCTGAAGTCCCTTCTGAAAATATCCTCTTTAGAAAATTATCTCAAAAATTATACTTGAGTATTCCTTCATATAATACAAAAAAATAAGCTCCAGAAGAGGAAAAACAAACACGCTTTTAGAATTAGTGTAAAAAAAAAATTGTAAACCAAACCATTTCTGTTTCTCCCTTTGCATAATTTATCTACATCTGTAATATTCTTGCATTTGGCATACTCCCTTCAAGCTCCCAAATCATGTTTTCCATTTCTCTGCAATGTCATTTACCTGATGCTATGGTGATTCAATCAACTTAAATGTATAGCTCTTGCAGTGGTTCTCATTGCTGTTTACTGGTGAAAATATTCAATGATAGCTGTTGCCTTTGGCTGTTCGGTGTTTGTAGTGCTACATCTTCAGAGGAACATTTGCTCTACACCATTCAGACTTTCTCTCACACTACCTCTGCCATCTCATCTTTTTCAGAAGGATAATGGGCTTAACAACCTAACTTATTTTTCAGAAACACGATTTAAAAGCCTCAGTAAGTTGAATGTCATAAAATGAGGAGTACTAAATCTTCCTCGTTTACTTCAGTCTGGGATAGTTACTTACTGTTTGCCATTTATGGCCAGTCAGAAGGGATTGTTTTCAGTGCCCTTAGCTTTCAAATATGTGTCATAGTTCAATGTTACTGTAAACTTTTCAATAGCTGATAGCAATACCATGAGAATTTGTGTGGAAGACTTTTCAGAGTCAAGTTGTTACCTTTCCCTGCTCTGTCATTGTGGGAGAGAGGCTTATACACATGCACTTACTCTGTCTTTGATTGCAGCCAGAAGAACTGAGAGAAATCATAGAGAAGACAAGGGAGATGGAGCAGAACAATGGCCACTACTTTGATACAGCAATTGTGAATTCTGATCTTGATAAGGCCTATCAAGAGTTACTTCGGTTGATAAACAAACTTGACACAGAACCCCAGTGGGTGCCCTCTACCTGGCTACGATGAGAGAGTAATTCCAAGGGACAAATGGACTTCAATCTAGTAATCTTTCCAAGGAGATCGTGTGTAGGTCTGCCTGATTCTTAGTATAAATGTGTGTGAGCTCTAGACCTCAGTGGCCGTGTCCTTTGCCAGTGAAATTGCGTATTATTGAAAAAATACGCTAATCAGCTTGTGAGCCAATTGAACTGATCTAAAGATTGTCCAAGTTTTCTTTCTCTGTGGTCTAGAAATGGAGACCTTGTCAGTACTAAATTCTAAAGCTTTAGATAGATTTTTCTAGCAACTACTTTTATACATAAATCCACCTTTTTTTACCTAGAATCACCCTTATGAAATCAAAGGTTTTAAGTATACGTGTGTGTGTGTGTATATACAGTTCATGCTGTCACATAGTTATAAATATGAATGTTATTTAACACTTAACTTAATGACTTTGTGGGACATGATGGTAGTTCAGGAGCATAATTCTACAGATCATTGGGCAGAGAAATAATCTCCACATGAAAAAAAATTAACCTCTCCTGTTCAAAAAATACACAGAATGAAGATGCTGCTCTAGTCTGGAGCTGCCCTGTGAGGCTTGAGTTAATATTTTAATTCTCAAACATTCCACTTACTAATAGCACTGTAATTGGGAAGTGTGTATAATGTAAATATTTCAATCCTTGTCTCTTTTTAGGCAGACTTTTTAAATCAGATTTGACTGCACATTAATTCTAGGTCCAAAGATGAATATTATATTGCTCTTTTAGATGTGGTATTTTTATGGCATTTTCTTAAAAACACATTGATTTGAGCTGCTGTTTTCCACAGATCTGTAGAGATGTTTAGAAAGGCAGAGGTTATATTTTTGTGAAAAACTTGTAAGACATGCTGCTTAAAAGTCAGCTTAAGTTCTCATGTTTTATAACAGAATACTGACTAAAATAGATTGATGTGCTGAACATTGGAAGGTAGTGAGGTTTTTTAATCTCTGCAAATGGTTCATCTTGTGGCTGTTGTCTAATGGATAACTAACTGGAATTAAAATAGCTGAATGTAGCTACTGTTTTATAAATGAGTATTGTAATTCACTAACCAACATACTGTCCTGCATTTGCTCAGTACTGCAGTGAAAGTTTGTGTAAAACACTGGTAACTGACTGAGAAGTCACAAGAAAGGGGCATATTTGTAATTGTTAAAACAAACAAAACTTGAAACAAGTGAGCAAAAGGTAGGGTCCGCATCCTAGTGTGTTCTGCAAAGCAGATCAGAACACCTCTGCATCCTCAAATGATTCTGAGCTGTGAAGGTTTAACTACTAAGGCTGTGCATCTGCAGTAGGGCTGTTCTATTGCTGAAGCTAACTGAATAGTAGTGTCTTGGCTGTTTTGGTTTTGGGTAGCACAAAGAACCTTGACTGTGAATATCTCTAAATTTTAGCCATAGTGTTTCTTTGCTCCTACAGGTAAAACACTGGAGTTTCATCACTGTGTAGTTCACTCCTGTCTAATGTTGAAGAAAAAGTAGTTGGTATTTTCCATTCTGTCTTGCATATATTCTTTCTGCAAATGTTAATGGAACAAATTCACACCCACATTTAAATAGAGAGCTCAAGGTATACAGCAGATATAAAGAAACTGTCAGATAACTTTCCTAGCTACTGAACTAACAGTACATTTTTGTATTGAAAAATGGAAGTATAGAGTGCATTCCTGTCTTGTTAGAAAGCAAAATTATTTGCTGGTTTGTTTAGTATTTAGGTCTGAAAAGCAATTAAGTAATTAGTGGGGATAAATAATGACCCTTCAGAAAGCAAAAGGTTTGGAAACTCTAGTATCATTAGTTCAATTCGGTGTTAGAAGTAATAATGTTCTTGCTGTTCGCCTAAGGGCTGGATATTCAAAATAATGGCTTTTTGCCTCACATTGCAGGCGTGCTGTCAGTTTAATCCATAGTTTATGACAACTACAATGTTCAGGTATATTGGGTAGTCAGCATTTCATAGATGACAAAATATTGTATCGATTCTACCCTTTTTTTTAAAAAAGACGATTGTAGATGTATTGGGCTTTTTGGTATTGACTCTTAGTATAGTTGGACAAGAAGGTGGAAAGCAGTAAAATATAAGGGTAACCTAGCTCAGCTACATTAGGTACTGTCCAAATTCTTGCAGTCACAATCAGCTCAAGACGGTTGCTGAACCCCTTAGGTATTCAGTGTTCCTGGGCAGTCAGTAAATCATGCCGTTAATGTATTTGACTAGCATTTGTCTCCCCATTTTTTTTGAACTGGTATACAGAAGCTGTTTTCATACAAATAAGCTTTTGAATGTAGACTTAAAGAATGTTGCTTGAAGTTCAGCTCTGCTCTCTTAATTCCCAAGGCACGCAGTACTTGCCGACATCTATGTGGAGAGGTGCTGTGATAGTTTATAACCAATGTTAGCTTTGTCTCCTGCT